GTTACAAGCATAAAATAGTTTTTATGCATACTTACGAGAATATGGGAGTGGATACATAGTTAAACATTATTTTGTAAATAATTCACAACCTTTATCATTTTTATGAATAGTAATAATTATTTATCATGATTATCTGATAACCTAGTACATGGTCTGAAATGAAGTTGACTAGATTTAAACACCTAGACAGAATAACAAAAACTCCAATAAATGAGATAAACAAATTGACCAATTGGGTAATAGTACAAAAGAAGGGGAGAAAAAGTAGGAAGGGTGGGGAAGTGACTAGTAAGATGATAACAAAGAATTCCTTGATTATTATTATTTTTTAAAAAGAAGCATAATGGTAACAAAATTTTAGATGAATGAATGAATGAATGGATAAAGAATTAAGTGTATGAAAATCACTTATCAAAGAAAAGTCATGAGTACTATTGTCACAACAATATTCATGATTAAAGAAAGTATGGGTGTCTGTGTCACTGTTAACACCAATATATACACAGAAATAAGCTTAACTATTAATGTCGTAAGATCGATGAATAAAATATATCACCGATCCACGTAGCTAGCCCGTGGACCTATACTGTGTCGGGTGAGACAGTTACCCAACGAAGACAATGGAAGATAGTTGCACAGTATCATGAACTGGTTGAAGTTAGACATTAGGACATTTGGATTCCGGTTCAGTGGTTTAGATGTTAGTGGTTCTCATGTGAGACCGAATGTCTTGGGTTCAATTACTACTTTCAGAATAGTGGATACACACTTCTGAGTAGTCCCATACTTGTATGAAATGGTCTTTTATTGTTCCCAAGTTTTCAATGGTTATCTAACATTGATCGATTCATGATTTCAATGAAATATTATATTTTACTCAGAATGAAGTCCTAGCATTATAAAGCATTTTAAAAATTACTTCACAGTAAGGTATTTCATAGTCACATTTAAAGAGAATCAAGTGTTTTTATTATAAAAATACTTGCAAAACAATGTTTCAAGTGTGATGAATGCGATTTGTTTTACTCCAGAATTTGGATGACCTCAATTATTTAGTCTACCTGAATATTGACGGATCGACATTCACATGTAAATAAAATAATTTAAATTTAACTGTTAAATAAAGAACTTGTTATTAATACTAACGTGAAAGTATTATTAATTCTTTTATCAAGAAACAGAAACACAGATAAACACTGTACAGCATACATCAGTGAACTGACTAGTTTGTTATAATTCCCAGATATGATTATTACTTTGATATGACTAATCGAAAATAATAACGCTTGGAAAATAGATTCCATATTTCGGATTTGTGCCTGTGATCCCACATTGAATGGTAGATACGAGATATCTAGATTAATAGGACTAAGCACTATACTGTGTACAAGATCAAGCAACCTAATAACTTATGACCCTTGATCACGAGATACGCTCAATGATCTGGCAAACGGTCAGTATCCTGAACAAGTCAGAAAGTAGTTTATAAGTGGAAATTGATTTTACCGATGAGTTAGTTTCTTTCATTTATTGTAGCCGGATATGTGTATGATTGTTCATCACCTAACCATGACTTATTTCAAACCGACATCATTCGTGTATAAACAGTGGAATTTCTATGTAAATAATTTCATATTATTATGGAATATGTTCATTTTGAATGTTCATTCCTAATAATAAATTACCCCAGAAAGAAAAAAAGGAAAATTTCACAGAGGCATGATTCTAGTTATTTCTTCCGAGTTCATTCAGAGAAAATACAAAATGTTATTCAGGTATTACAATTGAAATGATCAATCATTGGTGTTTGGATTAATATGCCTTATCCACTTTTTCATATTTAATTTATACTTATTAGTACAATAACTTGGAACATTATCTAATTTTCTTTATACTTAATCTATACCTGGAAAAAATAAGCCCAAAGAATATACTGACACATGTTATAATGTTACTGACTCAACTGATAATTAAATAATTAAAACATCAGGTATTAAAATTAATAAGTCACAATGCAAAAATACAAAGATTAATATATGATTATAAGCAGAGATGTTTTTGGGATATTATAGTAATTTAATAGTTGAATCCATGAGTCAATTGAAGTTAGACCACCATGGAAAACCTAGAAGCACTAGAGGGTCGTTTCGTTCTAGTACGGGGCTCCTCACCAGTGCGCATTCACGATCCCGCCCAGCGAGATTCGCACCCAGGACCTATCAGTCTCGCGCGCGGAACGCTTAACATCTAGACCACTGAACCGGTATCCAACGGTGTTGATATATGATTAATTAAATTAAATAAAGACTAATAAATAAACTTAATAGTTAATAGTGAACAATACAGTAACTCATGAGTGCTTCAAATTAGTTCATAGAAATAATATCTAGCTTTCCAAATATCAATGACTTCACAAGAAGTCAATAGTTTTTCTGTGCACTTTGATAATCATAATCAATAGTAAACAATCTAATTCATTTATTTATTCACTCTCTCTCTTTTCATCTATATATATTTTTTTGCATTCAGTTGACAATTTCTAACACATGAATTAACTCTATTGATTTATTTATATGATTAAGTCATGTGATATGTTATCACTGCTTAACAATGTGAGTAGATTTCAGCATAATGGATATTGAAAATAAACAAAAATAGATGGTGGTTGGCAGCAGAATCCAGGATGTGAGTTTCGTCTTATTTGGGACTCGTCAGATTGGTGTACCTGCATCTCAAAGTTGATGTTCACTCCTGAACTCAAACCCAGTGTTGTTTGCTCCAAATGCCATCACGTTATCCACTCAGTTACTGAGTCCTGATAGCTACATGCTTGTGTAGTGGAGTGAAGTTTAAATTCATTTTGTATTATTTGTTTGAATTTTCCCATTGATGTTTAGAACTGCGATTGATCAGTCTCAAATGTTATTGGATATTATAACACAGAAGAGAGTAGATCATATAAATATTGTGTGGCTACAGCGTATGTCTTCTTGTTATTATTATTTTTTTTTGGAGAATGAAGCAAGTGAGACGACCAATGATCAAATGAAATGAATGATGAATTCGCCAGTATGCTTGAAATTTAAAAATTGGGAGCTAAGTATATTTAGTTTAAGCTTCCATGATGTAATAAATATATCAAGCTACATTTTAATTGTTATATCTTAACCCCATTTGTACATCACAATATAGTTACTCCATATTCCTTGTCCATGTGCAGTTGTAATGTGCGAATTTTGCATTGAAACAGACATAAAGAATATATACATATACACACGTGATGCATTACATCTACATAATGACACAAAGACAACTAGGCATTGAATAACATTTGAAGACAATGATATGCATTGTATTAGAAAATATCTATTTAAGAAAAATAACACCTCATCTTTCTAATATGCAATAAATTTGTTCGAAACTAAAACACAACCATATAAGAATGAGAAACGGATTTCAAATAGAATATGGTAGAGAAAAGAATAGTTGCACAAAATGAGCTAAGTGAATGTCAAGTATGATATTCATAGTGAACAATATATGGTAATTTATAAACTAGTATCAACTAACCAATATCATCCTCATCAACACTATCATTATTTTACTAATTAATATTCACTTTTAAGTTTATTTCATAAAATCATTCGTACAAATTCAGTCATCTTTTTTTACATATTATTTTCTGCTATATTTCTCTGCATTTCTACACTCGTTCTTATAATTAGTCATTTATTTAGATAAGTATCATTCATGCGTAAATCACTAGGGTGTTTTTGTTGATTTCCCAATAGTCACATACAAACACAAAATAAATATACACATATAATGAACTATAAATAAACATACATACATACATACATACACAGAGAGGGAAGAGGAATATACTAAACATGATTCGACATGATCTCTGTTTATTAATTCGTCAATTTAGTTGTTGCCATCATTCTTACATTTAATCTGGTTGTATAAGCCTTCACATCAACATTATCATTATCATTTTGACTGTTAATCTACTCCGAAAAGTAATAATCATATTGTGATAAACTGAATCATGGAGATTGTCTTAATTATGATGTATGCGATTAGTTAAAATTTCCATTTGTCCGTCAGTCCCACACTTAAAGTTTTCGATTTACAATGAGGATAGGAATACACAAGAAAATTGGAGATAACATTACTGACATTACTTAACAAGGGCAGACGCAGGAACTTTACTGAGTCAGGTGACTGGTTTGCCATGAAATTACGTCCAAGCTGCCCATCTCTCTCTCTCTCTCTCTATATATATATATATATATATATATATATATATATATATATATATATGGAGAGAGACTTATTTACTTATTTACATAAAATATCATGATTGAAACTATGTATACCTTCGCTTTATGTGTTACATTGTCTGTAGTTAAACAAATTTAAATTACAGTAGGATTCGTAGTTAACAGAATCAGATGCAAGATATTGTAAAAACCAAAAGCTGACCGATATGTGAAAAATTAATTCTGTTCAGTATTTAAACCAATAATCTGATTTTCATGAATAATTGTCAATCATTCATTTAACATTAACTCAGACCATCGATTGCTTAGTTATGATCACATACAAACATGAATAAACTTCCTTATTCAACAATAACACAGATCAATGGAAAATTGTTTACTAACTCTGCATGACATTCAGTAATTAATTTGATTAAACTTGGCGAATGTTGCATTTTTTTAATCAAGGGAAACGCGGCTATCACTATACACAAAAAATTCGTTTAATCAGGATATGCAGTGATTGTGATCGAGGATTATTTCCTCAATAGCTCCCCCTTTTTGTTTATCAGAAAAATTGTTCAGCAATCACAAAAGTTTATACTAACTATTTTAAACTTTTTATTCGGATGATAAATACTATTATGCTTGAAATGAGCACTTTTAACTTGATCATTAAGAGGGATATGTGGAAATTGTAGAATTTTCACGGCTGAAATTTCCAGTCTATCGACACTATAGATTTTGAAGACCTTGACATTTGACGGCCAGCACGGAATGCAATGGAGAGCTCGGAATCAATTAGAAGATTTGGAGTCCATAGACGACCTGGCCATACTCGCCCATACACACGAACAAATGCAGATGATGATAACTACTGTAGCAGCAGCCTCTGTATTAGTAGGCCTCAATATACACGAAGGAAAAACCAAGATCCTCAAACACAACACGGAGAACACCAACCCAGTCACACTTGATGAAGAAACTCTGGAAAAGGCGGAAACATTCAAAAATCTGGTTAATATCATCGATGAACGAGGAGGATCTGATGCAGATGTAGGGGCAAGGGTTGACAAGGCAAGGACAGCATTCCTACAATTGAAGAACATATGGAACTCAGAACAACTGTCAAACAACATCGAAGTCAGAATCTTCGATACGAACGTCTAGACAGTTCTATTATACGGAGCTGAAACTTAGAGAACTGCCACAACCATTGTCGAAAAAGTGCAAGCATTTATAAACAGTTGTCTACACAAGATACTCAATATCCGTTGAACGGATGCCATCAGCAACGGCCAAGTGTGTGAGAGAACAAACCAGCTTCCAGCTGAAGAAGAAATTAGGAAAAGACATTAAAAGTGAATGGGACATACATTACGGAAATCACCAAACTGTATCACGAGGTGAGCCCTAACTTGGAATCCTGAGGGTAGACGGAGAAGAGAACGGCCGAAGAACACATTACATCGGAAGTGGGAATCAGTCATGAAAAGGATGAATAACAACTGAAAAGATATGGAAAAGATTGGGCAGGACAGGGTTGGATGGATAGTGCTGGTAAGAGGCTTATACTCCTCCACGAGGGTTAACAGGCGCTAATAAGTTAGTATCTATGCTTGAAATGAAATAGATGGATTCGACAATAAATATTGTCCCGTTTATTTAAATGAATAGCTGAAAACAGAGTTAACGTTTATTTTAGTATTTTGAATATCTAAAAATGTTTGACAGATTCTTTCTACATAAAATCTTTAAGTGAACATTAGAAAGAAAGGAAACAAAACAAGGGAAAAACACACAATTTTAATAACAATAATAATCACAATAGTCTTAACGGCATCCAATGAATGACCAAATTGGTTAATAATTACGATAATTACTACTTTTCAATAACCAGTCGATGAATTATAAATTATTATAAATTAATCATGATCATATATTCAGCTGTTTTAATGCATAAACAACATTATTTTTATGTTACTAAGCTAATCGAATGTTCTTAATAATTATTAAAAATGAATCAATATAAAACGTGTCGTGATCATATATATATATATAGTCGAAAAAGATGATATTTCAAATCTAGTTCCAATTAAACGTGTCGACGTATTGATCATTACAAAGGTGATACAATAAGACATTCGCAGTAGTTCAAAGAGTCTCTAGGCTATGAATACGAATAAATACGAATTCCTAAGTAAAAGATGTATGTATACATGAGATATGTAACTTCCATTAGATCCACCATATACACTGGCATACACACAGGCAAGTTTGAATAAAGTTTTACGCTGTGAAAGTAACCGTTATTTGTCAAACATTTCACTGTGATTACTCGAGAAGTTGAGTAAATTCTACCTATTTGTATCACAGCCAATGAGTGTAGCTAACTGATAGTTGGGTGATCAATCACTGAATTATTAAGTTTGAAAGTATCTTTTTTATGAAAACTATATCACATCAGGAATGAAATAAGGAAATAGGAAATTCGATAACATAACTATTTGATGCTGAGGATGTGACAGTTCGTTCTGTCCTACTTTACGGCTGCAAAAAGTGGATATTACGAGTAGAAGATACACGTAAGTTCCTAGTATTTGATCGCACATGTCTTAGAAATACTGCTCGCATCTGCTGGGATCACCGGGTAAGTAATAGTGAGGTTAGACGCAGGGTATTAGGGAATGATGGTAAATCAGTTGATGAGGTTGTGAATCTTCACCGACTGAGATGGTTGGGACAAGTGTTGCGTATGCCTGAACACCGATTACCACGATGCACAATGCTAACTGGTGTTGGGGATGGTTGGAAGAAAGTTACGGATGGTCAAACCAAAACGTGGCATCAGTGCTTGAAGTCACTAACTTCTAGTCTGAACCATGTTGGTAGATGCAGACTACTTGTTTGGGGTCCGCGTGACTATCGTAACCAATGTTTGGAGACTGTGGATGACATGGTTCAGAATCGATCACATTGGTGTAGGTGTATACACTCTTTGTCTTCCCTTAAATCGTGAGATCACAATTGATTTATAACGTTCTTTTTAAGAACTAATTCTTTCTTTCTGTATTATATCCTTATACACAATCTTCCTTTTATATATAACTATCATTAAAGTAAGTACCATGAATTTGGTGTTCATGTTGTTGTGCTAATGAGGTGTGGCAACTTGGATCGATGCATATACGTGCCTTGTCCTACATTGTAGCTATATATATATATATATATATATATACTTCTTTAGGCCTGAGATTATTGAGAAGTACACTTAATAATCATGAAGTTATATCATATCAGTGCATTCAACGAATGTATATCTATCACAGTTCATAATGAATAAACTGGGTAGTAAAGTCGACATGTCTAAATAATTCCTTTAATTTTATTGTATTCTGAAGAGGTCAAGTAGTACTCGAATAAAGTTTCATTTTTATAGACAAAGAATTTATGACTAGTAATGGTTTATACGTTTGCCTATCAATACATACAACCAGTTTCAATATACAGTTGTGCAAATGTGTCTCTGTATATGTTGTCTTCTAAATAAGAAAGTTTAATAACCAACATTATCACCCCCCAAAATCATATATATGCATCCATGCATACATGATTAGTGTGTGTTAAATTAAAGATAGACAATTTAGTAAAAAAAAAGTGAAATGCGTGTATTTATGTGTCCGTGTGAAATGTTTAGGCTGTTTTCTGTATAGCCAAATGGATAAACTCAATCATAGGAGGGACAGCAGGATAGCAAGGCTACAGGGCTATATAAGAACAGTATAAGCTGATATTAAGGAAGAAGACTATCCATACTTATTTGAGATATGAAAACATATTGAACTGTAGTTATTTCTATGCTGGTTATTCATGTAAAGTTTTTTTCCTTTTTTAAAAATTATAATACAAAACTGAATGACTACTGATCATTTGAATAATTATATCATAGATATCAAACAGATTTACGATATCTTTAAGTTAAGCGTTCGCGCGCGAGACCTAAGGTCCTAGGTTCGAAGCCCACGTGTAAGTTCGTGCATGCTCATGGATGAGGAGTCCCATACTAAGACTTAATGACCGTCCAATGTTTTCAGGTTTTCAATAGTAGTCTAACACTAATCGATTTATGACCCCAATCGAAAAAAATGTAAAAACTTACCGGTAAAAGATGAAATCGTTTTTTAAGATCTGAACTAATTTTTAATTCATTTGCCGATTGCATTAATTTCACAGGAAAATATACACGTATTGTAGCTAAAGCATCGTTTATTATAAAATTATCATTAGATACATTTTCCATTGTATCAATTCTATTCGTTAGTGAATTTGATAATTCCTTACAAGAATCATTTATAGATTGAATAACTAATCCAGTAGTTCCTTTATTATTAAGATGAACAACATTAGAATCGGAATTATCTTTTGATTGAATATATCCATTCGTTGAATTTCGATTCTGTTGTTGTTGTTGTTGCTGCTGTTGACCTTGTTGTTTATCATGTAAACGTTGAAAGAAATGTATCGGTGTACATAGAATTGGTATATTTTTATTATTACTTAAATCTAATGGTATTGTATAACCTAATTTTATATCAAATTGTGATTTACCATATTTATTCCAACATGGATTATGTATTCGTATCCGATTATAAAATAATTGTGACTGATGTTCACCAAAACAATCAATTAATTCAATTTTGCATCCAGTTAATTCACTTTTAATGAACATTGGTTTTTGAATATATTTTTTTCAATAATAATAATAATAATAATAATAATAATAATAATAATAATAATAATTTGTTTTAATGATATACATTGGATACGTAAATAATGATATCCATAGATATATCCACGATTATTATTTTGTTTGAAATGAATCAAAGGGATATATTTCATATAAATTTATACATTTCCCTTTTCTCTCTCTCTCTTTCTCTCAACAATTATATTATTTAATATAATAAGAAATGCTAAAATAAACTTAGTCTAAAATAATGTTAATATAGTTGGTCATTATTTATTATTTCAATACAATAGTAATCATATATGTTATACGCACAGAAGATCATGTAACTACTTATGTACCTACAAACTTTACACATTGTGATATGATTCTAAAATCGATATATAGATTTAGATTTCACAGATTTATAGAAATACATTTGTATGTATTTTTACTGTATGTGCATTCATATGACCCTGTGTATATATATATATATATATGTTAGATAAGATGTTGATACGATAGATCGTTACACCGCAATCATATATTAGCATACTTATTATCCAAGCGTTTTAAACGTGTTCGTGTATATTAATACGGGTATGTTTGTATTCAACCTATTAATTTGTTCATATGTGTGTGGATGTGAATATGAATGTGTGTATATGTTAATGTAATACTTGTTTATACTTGTAATCACAAAATAGATAGTCCAACTATATTCAATGAGCACATTGGAATAGTAACACTATAAAGAAGAAAAAAAAAGAATTATTGTGAACATGTTTAGAATAAGATTTAATTATCATCATCATTTATGATGAAGAGAAATTTATGAGTAAAATTTCAATATGGATATTAAATTTATTTCATTGTGGAAAATTTATTTTTAAGATGATTCTAAAATAAAAATACAAACAAAATAATATCAAACATTGAACTCAACTAACTTTGATGATGGTTGCTGGTATTTTTTTTTCCTTGATCCACTAAAAAGCAAACAAATTAAATATTTGTGTGCAAATCTGTTAGAGTAAGCATGGTTTGTTAGAGGTCGTAATTATTCATACCGAGCGTTTTAGATTTTTGCTTTAGGTCAGTATACAGAATCTGGCCTGTCTGTCTATCTATTTATATATATATATAACTATACATACTAACTACCTAGTTTGTCTATTTGTTTGGTTGTTTGTTAGCTGTCTAACAATGCTTGTTGGTTAGGCCAAAAACAACTTAAACATATTATGCTTATGATCGATTGGTTAAATATATTTAATCGAAAATCCACCCCTTTACACATAATAACATACAACACAGGCATGGGCTGATTTGTTTGTCCAACAGGGGGCTGATTTGAATTTTACCATCTGGCCAACTCAAGTTATATTAGGACTTTCGGGAAAACGACGCTAATTAAGGGAAATAGAGGATTTAAATAATCATCATCGGGGATAGATTTAGAAATTCATGTAACCCTGTTTTCTTATGATCCATGTATAATA